GCGCATACCAAATTATACTTATTAAGCCTATAACTTGTATCAAAAATTACCACATCACCAAAGCAGTCATAATCTATCTTACCAATCGCATCAACCCAAAAAAAATTTAACAATCTATCAAATTCATCCTTCTGGACATCCCAAGAGAACATGTTATCATTAAGTTATCGTTCTTTAAATAACTCAATCAAAGTATAAGTGTTCCCAAGTTCAATCTTAGCTCTTTTTATTTTTTGAATAAAGTTGTACGCATCCCTCCTTGTGAATCCAATATTTTCGACACCTCTAACTTTGTCAGCAAGGAAGGAAAATGCATCAATTGTTCTTATCCCAGCATCTGTCATTGCTTTAAGAACAGAAGCTTTTTCATCACACATATTCCTGCATGATCTAAGAAGATGTCGGTCTTCTGGCCTAGGCAAATCATGATTGTGATTTTCAATAAATTTTTTCACCTTCCAATATCCAGCTTCATCCACTGTAAACCTAACCATAGCTGGACAACCAGTTCGAGTATCTGATCTTCGATATTTCCTTTGGATATTAAGATCAGGCAACTTCTTGAAACCAGCTTTTGAACAAACAAAGTCCTTGGATTTTAAATTTCTAGAATTTGGCCAGTAACTGTGATGATCCTTATGAACACTAAAACCAAGATTATATCCATAAGAACGATAAGCCTCGTATGCCTCTTTCTCATTAACATAAACATCCTGAGAAATACGCATTAAGTGAATGGTAAAATACGCAACCAATACGCAACCGATACGCAAAATATAAGCAATAATTAAGCAACACAATACGCAATAAAAACCCAACATATGCGCAATGTATACGCAATGTATACGCAGAAAATATTCAATGTATATCAAACAGATATGCAATACATACGCAAATAATACGCAACAAACCTTTGAAATAAGAAAATCAAACTATAAAATCCTAATTGTAGCCTAGATCAATAATGCTTTAGAAGAAGAGAACATCGAATATTCTTTTTAAATCAATTACATTTTTACATTATGCACATTGTTGATAAAAAACCGCATCTTTGTTAAACATAATAAATGCACAAAGAAAACTTGGAAGGAGGCGAACTTTACCGAGATGCTGAACTTTTCGTCCAGTCCCACTGGTTCTACGTGTTCTGCTTCATGTGCGCTTGTTTCCGGGACGTCGGCATTCTCCAGGTTATCGGCTTCCTCTGAGACCTGCGAAAATATTGTCTGCTCATAAAAACCAACATCCTCCTCCAGATCAATCTCCATCTTCATCGGCATTTTCTCTGCGAAATTTTTGGCTTCTCTGCGAAAATTTTGGCTCTAAGTGTTATATATTGCGGTGATTCGCACGCGCCTTAAATTCTGAAAAAAGAAGCGCCAACCTAAATCTCCCGGGTCGGGCTGGAAGACGGGTCGGGTTTATGAGGTTTACGTAAGTCAATTGACTGTTGAACCCTTTCCACGTAAGCAACCGAACACATCGTTGTGATCGGATTCCACACACAATAATTTCTCGTGCAAAAGAGAAATTATTCTGCGCGGAATTCGGTTATAGAGATGTGTTCGGATGCCAGTAAAATCATTACATGTGACGTGCTTACGTGAAAAGTAAGGATATTCATTTGATTTCTTACCCTACCGGTTTGTCTTTTCGGACTTACTGCAGACGAAGAGAAATCCACAACAAATAAGCAGTAATTAAGCAGAAAATGTGCAACATATACGCAATAAATACTCAATAAATATGAAACAAATACGTAATAAAATACTCAATCAATACGCACATTTTACGCAACAAATACGTAATAAATACTCAATCAATACGCAAGTCAAATAAATATGGCGGACTTTTAACTTTCCACGTAAGCATCCGAATACAACTCTATAACCGGATTCCGCACACAATAATTTCTCGTGCAAAAGAGAAAACAAAATTTAAAACTAGACCGAACTCCACCCGGCTTAGCCGGGGTAGTGGGTGAGTCCGATTGGATCTGTGAGGCTGTTTGTCATTAATCTCATCAAAGAATTAGTTACTTTGTCAAATGTCAATTATTAGGTCAGGTGAGCTGACATAGCTCTACGTTCGGACGCTAATAACATGTTGCCACTTGGTTTTACTCAATACAGCACGGCTCGATGACTTGACCCGGGATTGCTATGTTCGCGTATTGCTCAGTATTGCTCTAGGTATTGCTCGGTATTGCTCGGTATTGCTTTACAATAATGAAAAATTCTATGAAAACCAATACTGAGCAATACCAAAACTCGCTATTGCTCTGTGTTTCTCGGTATTGCTCGGTATTGGTCTTCACAGAATGGTATTTCTCGTTATTGCCAAGCAAAATCGACCAATACCGAGCAAATACCGAGCAATACCTAGCAATACGCGAACATAGCAATCCCGTATCCATTCCGGGTTGGGGTTGTTGGGCCGCGCGGTAAATAGTGAGAACACGTGGCACTATTTTATTGGCGTCCGAACGTAGAGCTACGTCAGGTGACTGGTCCAAATAAAAGTTCCTTCTCTAGTGCGTGACATCTTATAGATACCGGATTCCAAGTAAAAATATAGTTGAAAAACGATAATACCCATGAAAATAAATCCCTTGCTATTTTTTAAAGGCTTAATCATATTTTTTAGATAATTATAGTACAAATGTTTGACTAATAGGAATAAAACTTTTTTTTTGTGTTTTGCAATATAACAATTGCCTTAAAAAATCAGAAGTTTTATACCACTATAAGATGAAAAATTCTTTCTTAGCAACAAATTTAACTTATGCATGTGAATTAAGAGAAAAAAAGCTCATATTTGTCATACATTTATTGTCTGTCTACTTCGTGTCATTCTAGCATCAATAGTCGAGTGCTATTAATTAAATGATAATGTTCAATTGTTCATAGCAAAAGTGGTTCGAGCTGGCTAAATCAAGATTAGAATCATTATACAACTAATAACGCACTAGTTGCTTAACTACTTATCATAGCCAACTAAGGTAAAATCAACAATGGCTTATTAGATCTCCCTAGAATATTAGATGAGCCAAGTATATGATGTATTTATATGATTATTGCATAATCAATAGGATAAAATATTGGTATGCATGAGATGTTTGAAAAGTGTAAAAATATAAACTAATCATTAAGTAAGCCCAAAAGACACTGTGTTATAAAATAATTTTATATAATTGTCTACATCTTGCAAAGTTGAGTGAAAGTAAAAACATTACTCAATAAAGCTCAAGCATATATTCTCAAAAGAGTATAGACCAATGTCAAGTACACTCTTACATCATCTATTTATCATTCAAATATATTTGACTTTGCTGCAAAACTTGTAATTCTTGGTTTGATAAGATAGAATAAACTAATGTCAAAAGTTACATAGGATAGGGTTTGCAAGGGACATGTAATCCTGATATAAAGTCCATAAAGCTTTTAATACTCACCAAACAACACTTTTAAAAAATTGGAATGGGATGTCATCAAATATCTAAATAACATGCTATCATAGTTAGAACCTTGCCTCAAATATAACCTATCAAGGGAGAAAAAATGCATAAAACCTATAAGTTCAAATCAATGGTTATGAACATGCATGATTTGACCATCCAACATAGTGTATTATCATAAATATATATATTTATGACAATAGAAGTGTCACAATCCAATTAGATAAAACCCACAAACGGTATAGGTCCTATTACATTGGCTTGCAACATATAAATAACAAAATCGGAGTTTTGAGAGAACTTTTCAAAAAAAAAATCTTCCTATTAAAATTAAAATAAACAACAGATTATAGAGCTACTAATAACTTCCAATATACATAAAATAACTTATCAACAAAATTTCATTTCATTTCTCATCAAAATGTATATACAATATTTACATATTAATACATTATTACAGACTAAAGTACAGAACATAAAAATTTAAGTTACTAGATTTGACTGTACAAAAATTAAAAAATAAGTATATATACAAATTTAGAAAGATCAGATCATGTCTTACTATTCAACTAGCTCGTTCCCTTTCCCATACCCTGAAATATAATGCAGATAAACTGTGAGCCAACACAGCTCAATAGACCATACTCAATAATCTTTGTTTTCAAATAAATCCTTTATTATGCATTTAATTAAGTTTAATAGTAGTTCCTAAGAAATGTAGTGGACTGAGCATGATAGTACTTACAAGCATCTGAATTAAAATAGAATGTGTACTGAAAATAGATAAATGCACACTTTATATATAAGTACAAAAAATAATAAATTTTTCTTAAGCCCTTATATATCTCATCATAACATAATTCAAAGAATTTTGGTCCTTATGACTCCCATGCTGGCATATAAAAAAATATACCCTTATAATTCCCAATGTCCAGCTCCAGAATATAATGTGCATATAACACCAAAATAGAATGTACATATAACACCATAACAGAACTTCATGCACATTTAGCACCAATATATTCCCTTATACACACCAGGTCTCAGAATCACACAGTTCAAGAATATTAACATATAATTCATTACATTACAATAAAACAAATATAAATAAACTCATTTCAAAATTTAACAGAATGCTTTAATGATAGGTAGCTAAACTACATAGCATACACTCACTATTTCAAAATGTAACCAAAATTATCAGAGATTATTTAGAGCTATATTTTAAAGCTTTAATTATACTATAATATTATTTTTGAGAACCAGAATAAATTTCAAATTTGCCAAAAAATCTCACATTTTTTAATTTACTTGGTTAATATTTCTAAGAAAAAATATCTAAATATTTAGAATTATCATATCTATAACATATATAAAGTTATATTGTAAAAATTTTACAGTTATCAAGTTATCAAAAAATTGTTGCTAAAATAATTATAAATTAAGTCATAAAATTCCCAAATTCCTTGTATTTTTAAAAATTAAGATATGCAAAACATAATTTACCTTGAGCTCAACAACTTTCAAAATTAGGCCGTCAGCTAAAAATGGATTAAAGTTGCCCAAAAATGGATTTTTATCTCTAGAATTCCTCTCTCTATCACTAGTTAGCTGCCTAAAAGGAAATGGAATAATTCATTTTAGTGAAAAAAGATATTTAGTTTTAAAATTTGGTTGAGGGTCACAGTGCCAAATCTTGCACACTATAGTGATGCTCCCTCTAAGATCCCACAATGTCACAATGCCACCCCAATGTTACATCATGCATTATTTAACAAAAAGATAAAGAGCTCAGAGTTGCAGTGCTGACTACCTAGGTGCTATGATATCCCATAAGAAAAATTCTAGATTTATTATGATACCCCAGAATCTATTTAGGAAGAATTATTTTTTTATCTTTTAATTTACATAATCATGACTACTTGATTTTTTTAATAAATATAAGTAATGCAAAAATAAAACTATAGATCAAAATACTAATATATTTATCTATATTCATTTTCTAAAAATTATATATATTACTTATGATATATACTATCATATCAGAACTAGTCTATCTTCACTACAGGAAAACCTGTTATTACCGGCGGACGTAATCCGCCGGAAACAATGCACAATCCGACGGAACCTCAAGCTTGAGTATAAAAGAATAACTAAAATAATAAGAACATGAACCTGAAGGATCTTGATCAATCCCAAAGTCCTGCTCCCTTATCTTGATATAAAATCATTTAACAATATATAATGAGCTTTAAGAGTCTAGTAGCAAGTAACCAAATCCGACAACTGCACTTAATATAAGGCAAAAGAGAAATATGTATGACAATAGTCATACATGGCATCACTGAAGTAGGTGCAATAAGTCATGATACAATAATCTCCCTTTGACTTCTACTGACAACTCTACCATCTGCCCTAATTATTGATCTTTCATTATATGCTATTGAACCTATAGTCCTCTATCTTATAGCATGTATATACAATCCTACACCAGAATGATCTTCCTCCAAATCCCCTTTGATGGTAGTCTGCTACCTTATGTCCCTACTATCCATAGCGAAAACATCACTTCGTCAACAAGTAGTACTGATCTGAATGTCATAGATCATAATGAATATACTCATTATAGTTGACAATAGATGTTATCAATCCAAAACCCCTCAAATCAGTATAGCAACTTTCTTACCATTGTCTTTATCCCTATTTATCTTATATTTGCCCCCTCCTACTAACAAGTGCACCACTAACAAAAGTAGAACTGGGCATACTACTAATGCCAAGGACTAACACATAAACGGACTGTCCACCTCCCCTAGACCTGGG